AAACGGCCACTATTAGAACTAAATTTTAGAAAAGGTTCTTCTGTAGTTGCTTTACTAAGGATAGCTTTGTTGTTGCACAAACTCCTAAGAGTTCTACTCAAGTACATGGTTGTGATTAGATGTTGTCATTTTGACTCATAACAACCGTATGCACAACAACTCTGAAACCTGTCCTATCCTATGGCAACCTCATCATCTTTGATTTACTTGAGTCCACGGAACAGTCCCTGTATCAGTTAATCTAATTAAGGGTGTTGATATTTTCCACCAACCTTCTGCCTTTCCAAGCATGCTATTCCTCTGCAAGGAAAAGCCTCTACTAGCAACATGCCCAAAGTATGTGAGATGAAGCTTTGTCATCTTTGCCTTCAAGGAAGATTCTGGTTGCACTTTCTCCCTGACACACTTATTTGTTCTTTTGGATACTCAGTACTCTTCTATAACACTATAGCTCAAAGGCATCAATTTTTCTTCTATCATCCTCATTCATTGTTTGGCTTTCAGATGCATAGGAAATCGTTGAAAAAGATTATAGCCCAGCACACCTTAGTCCTCAAATTGACATTGTTTCCTCTCAGTAATTTGGAGAGTTTCCTGATTGCAGACTTTCCCAATGCAATCTCCTGGCTGCAAGTGTATTGATAATGGATACAGGTAAAATTAATTAATTGACAGTTTCCATCTTTTCTCTGTTGGTACATAAGGACTTTTTGTCCCCTCTGCTTTAACCATGGAGCCTTTAATACAGTTACTTATTGTCTATATCTAAAACCAGTTTTTCCTAAATTTGTTATTGCCCTTAACTACTGTGCAGAAAACAGGAATTGTATCAATTAAAGCATTATATTTACAGTGTTATTTGTTTATTTTCATCACTGTCAAACATACACTCTGACACAAATGCTTATAACAAATCTACTGATAAGAGAAAAGGACATCTGTCCAAGTTAAGGGATAAACTTATTCATTAAAATTAATTCATAACTCACTCACCACTGATGCTCCATTGGGTTTCTGAAGCTGTCACAGTAGGAGATTGTCCATCTTTCTGATTATGGCCACTGGTGGTGAATTCAAATTACCACCCCTCAGCAGCACATTTCCCTATGAACTCGGCCATTAGACTTCTCTCTCTCTTCCTTTTAAATACCATCAACTTGGTATAGTTGACTTTTCAGTAGATTTCCAGAGGCAGTAAATCTAATGAGAGGAGATTGCCTATCTTTTCCCCATGGAGTGTCTGATAGATCCGAACTGCATATGTTTGCATTCACCATGCAACTTTTTACCACTAAGCCATCAAAACATACTTCCTTGAATTCTCATAGCACTTGTGTATATCTAAAATAAATATAAAAATGTATTTATATTTATTATTGTATTTCTTTTATTACATGATAAACTCATTGGAAATTGCATTTTTTTTATAATTTCTATTGTCTAGGACTAATGGACTCACACTTGGATCCTTGGATTACTGAGTAGGGGGCAGACCTGTGACTGGAAGGAAGAAAACACTACTATTGTTTATTGATACTAAACTGATACCGGTGGTCTGACTTTTGCTTCTACTTATGTAGAGTATAATAATTCATATCTCCATTAGAATTTTGTAATGCTGAAAAGGATATAATCTAACAGGCTGCAGATAGAAGCCTATCTTCCTTCCAGTAAAAACAAACACACAAAAACATAAAACACCAAAAACAAAAAACCAGAATCTCTGTCCTCCTCTTAATAGGAAAAGCAAAGGAAATGCTGACAGAGTAACCCAACCAGAAACTGTTCTTTACAATGACGACAATGACAACAAAGCACAAAAAAATCAGATTCATCTGTAAAAAAGGAGCTGAAGAACAGACCACTCATGAACCACCATAAATCAATCAGAAGCTATACAACATCATAACAGATCAAAAATTGTGTTAGCCCAATTCCCTGCAAGAGAGAATATATAAACTCTTTTTAGGATAGGGATCAAAGACATTTACCCAATTATAGAAGTGACCAATAGATTCAGTGTTGCTACCCAACCTTGGCATGTGTGTCTTGACCCACCTCTTTCCCAAAGATGGAGTCAGTCCTTTCCTGACTCATTCATAGTCATTATTAGCATCTAATAACCCTCTGTTCTTTTCACTTGCACTCGCTTGGTGTCTTTTTGTGGTGACGTTCTATCAAAATATCACACTTGACTCAGAAATTTTAGTTCTTATTCAGTGAGACTCTTTGACCTCTTTAGAAATCGTCTTTATTGATACCACCAATGTTATGTCAGCCTGATAACAAACCAGTTGTTGTTGTTATGTGCCGTCGACTCGCTTGAGACTCATAGCGACCCTAAGCACAACAGCCCTAAACTCTGCTATGTCTTGTGCCAATCGCACTGTCTCTGACACTCCCATCCTGATAACCCGAGTCATCGAATCAATCTACCTCATAGAGGGCCTTCCCCTCCTGCGCTATCCCTCCACCCTCCCCAGCATGATGTCCTTCTCCAAGGACCGGTCTCTCCTTACAACATGACCAAAGTATGTTAGACAGAGCCTCAGAATCCTTGCGTCCAAAAAGCCACCCGAATTAACCCTATCCAGGATGAATCTGTTTTCCTAGCAGTCCATGGTACTCTCAATACTCTTCTCCAGCACCACAGCTCAAAGGCATCAATTCTCCTGTCCCCCTTGGTCATTGTCCAACTCTCTGATGCATAGCAAGCGATTGCGAAGACCATGGCCTGTATCAGACGCACCTTAGTCTCCCAAGAGACACCATTGCTCTTCAGTACTTTGGAGACGTCCCTAAAAGCAGACTTTCCCATGGCAATGCACCTTTTAATTTTCTGGCTACTGGTGCCAAGGGTGTTGACTGTGGAGCCAAGCAAACTAAAGCTGTGAACAATCTCAATCTCTTCACCATCCATCCTGATGCTTCCAATTGGCCCAGTGGTGGGATTCTTTGTCTTCTTGACGTTGAGCCTCAATCCATATTGGAGGCTGCAGTCCTTGACCCTCTGCAGCAGGTCATTCAGGTCCTCCTCAGTTTCAGCAAGCAGGGTTGTGTCATCTGCATAACGCAGATTGTTGATAGATCTTCCACCAATCTTGACCCCACATTTCTCCTCATAAAGCCCAGCCTCCCGGATGATCTGTTCTACATACAGATTGTAAAGGTATGGAGATAGGATGCATCGCTGGTGTACGCCCTTCCCATTTAGAACCATGCAGTGTTCCCATGCTCTGTTCTGACTACTGCCTCTTGGCCCAAGTGTAGCTTTCTCATTAGAACTATCAAGTGTTCTGGGATTCCCATTTTTCTTAGAGTCAGCCACAGTTTGTTATGATCCACACAGTCAAATGCCTTTGCATAGTCAATGAAACACAGATAGACATTCCTCTGCTATTCCCTACTTTCAGCTAAGATCCATCTAACATCAGCTACAATATTCCTTGTACCACGACCCTTTCTAAACCCAGCCTGGACTTCTGGCAGTTCTCTGCTGATGTGCTGTTCCAGTCATTTACTAAACTTCGGAGACACTGGTCCCAACATAAGAAACTACCAGAAGCCGACGTGTTTGGAATCACAGAAGCCAAGGATGCGTCATATGTAAGCTATTAGATCAAGGACTGATCAATGGGAGATAGATGTGAAGGGAGTGGGTAGAAGTCGATGGGTATCCTGGTGGATGGTGGAGGAGGGAAATAAGTGGGTAAAGACACGTGTTGCAAAGGCAGGGACAACACTGATACTAATCGTTAACTCCACCTTTCACTTTTTCTATAAAATGCTGGTCTGTCTGATACTTCTCCAAATCTGAACATTCAGATTACGACAGACTAGGAAGAAGGATTGGCTATCCACTTTTAAAATAGCAGGCCCCTGAAAACCCTGTGTACAACAGAACACATATAGATAACAGAAAGGGAAACTGAGGTTGAGCTTTCAAGGACGGAAATTCAAAGGAAGAGGAACAGTTGTAAGCATACAATAGTGATTGGGTCATGGAATGTGAGAACCATGAATGTAGGAAAATTAGATATTGTTAAGTACGAAATGGAACGCATAAATATTGACATACTATGCATTGGGGAGATGAGAGGGACTGGCATGGGACAGTTTGAATTGGATGATCATATGATATATTATTATTCTGCAGATGAAAAGGTGAGAAAAAATGGAGTTGCTTTCATAGTTTAAAAAGTCATTGCTAGATCCATCTTGAAGTACAGTATTGTGAGTGACAGGATAATATCCATACGCATACAAGGAATTCCTTGAATACCACTATCATTTAGATATATGCACCAACAACCAGAGCCAAGGAAGAGGATATAGAAGATTTTTACCAACTTTTACAATCAGGGTTTGATTGAACATGCAATCAAGATGCATTGATAATAATGGGTGATTGGAATGCAAAAGTTGGGAACAGAGAAGAAGATTCAGTAGTTGGAAAACATGGACTCGGTGACAGAAATGGAGCTGGAGAGAGAATGATTGAATTTTGCACAATGACTTATTCATAGCAAATACATTTTTTAAGAGATATAAACACAGGTTATATACTTGGAAACAAACCAGTAGCTTAGAAAATTCAAAGGAAAATCTGGCAGTCAGTGGATTTGAAGGTCACCATTTATTTATTTGAAATATTGATTGGCTAGAGCTGCTTACAGATTTCTATGCCGAGATTAGAACTACTGTAGACTGAAAAAAAAAGGTAAGTGAAAAGACATTTTCTCTTGTCTTCTCAATATTTCAGAGTTTTGTATCTCTAAATCAATTTTATTGTTGGCAACTTGAATGATTTCAAAAGAAAACTCGGAGCACGTTAAAAGAACACTTATAAGGATAGATGAAAAACTAAGTTTCTTTAACCCACACACTGGTTTTCTTCAGTACTTCCTCGCTGATTTTGGGTAGCAAGTTGTCTAGCAGCCTCTTCCAATTATGGGTGTGATGGAGGGATTGCTTTGATCACAATTTCTTTGAGTGAATCATCAAGAGTACATCTCACAGATAAAATATTTCCAACTGCTGCAGTTAGCGGGGAAAAGAGAATTGCGCTTAAGGTAGGCACAGTCCTGGTTAATTGATGGGAGTTGCTGCATCAGCTTCCTGTGGAGACAAGGTAATGTTGTCTGAGGTTAGAATAGTGGTTATAGTGAGGTTCTACCTAAGAGAAATGTAGAAACTGTACTGCAATCCAGATTGCACACCATCCTAATTCACCAGCAGCTGTGTGGATGAAAGATGGGCAATCTTTTCATTAGTCATTTACTGGCTCTATCTGAAAACCCACTGAAGGGTCAGCTATGAATCCGTTCCGACTCTACTGCACACAATAACAACAAGAAAGTGTAAGTCTTTTGGTTTGGTTTGTTCTAGTATTCCTGTATGGCTTTCAGCTTCTTTAACAGACCTGCTTTCTTTCAATATAGAGTTAATGTAATATCATTAAAAATACACAAAATGGTTATACTGTATAATACTCTGTATTGGGGTGTCTTTCCTGACTCTTAATTATATAAAAAGAAAAGAACAAACAAACAAAAAAATCCCACCTAATTCTGCTCATTCATGCCTCTAGGTCTGTTTGAGCTGAGTGTGTGCATGTCATGCGTATACTTTGTTGTTGTTGTTATTACGTACTGTGAGTCACCATTGCTTAATAGTTACCATAACCTCTTTTCCTTAACACTCTTCAGATATTAAGTGATAATAAAGGAAGTTTAGTTGATAATTATACTCTATTAAGTTGCTCAGACAGACATTTAAATTTTAATACACATTTTCTAGAGATAAATTAAAAGTGAGGCAGAAAAAGTAAAATTTAGCAGCTAGAAAGCTACTCTTAATTATCTTAACATAGATTATAATTAGCATCTTGTGAAGTTATCATGTTTGTTAAATCATCTGAAATAAATCTAATATATAAAATATGATAAGCCTTTGAATTATTATATTTTTTTCTTGTAACAGTTCTTTTAAAGACTTACCGTTCAGAGGATAAAGAGGAGCCATCTTGCCAAACCCAAAGTTGGCCTGGTGCAAGCTGACACAGTCCTACCCAGTAACCATAGTCCTTTTTGGTTTTAGTCAGCATTTCACTGATAAAATCCTGTAAGAAACAAGACCAAAACAATGAACTGAGGTAGGATTGAGGGAAACAAAGCCAAATAAACAACTATCATGATATATAAAGTGATGCAATTTGCCTAGACAGAAATCGATGGAAATAAGAAGTTAGAAAAAGAGGTATAGGATTTAAGAAAAAAAGATTAATTTCACAGATGTTATTATCAATGTGGTGTTTGTACAAAATAGGTAGCTTGTATGAAAATATTAACAGTTTGAGAGTCAAGCATGTAAACTATGTAAATAAATGTAAATACTATTGATGAAAACTCATTAGGAAAAGTAAAGCTGTATTATATAGGTTACATATTCCCAATGCATTACAATCCAAGAAATAGTTTAGGAGATTCTAGATGGAAGTTGACTGTAAGCATATTTTGCCAGAAGAATATCATCAAACCCTTGTTGTTTATTGTTGTTGATTGCCATCGAGTTGAGCACGATTTGTAGAGACTGCATGAACAAAAGGCCGGAAGCCTTTCTGTAGCTATCATTATTTATCAAAGTTCATAATCCAGAGGCATGCTGTTTGGGAAGTGGATGCCACTCCTGCTAACCAAACTGTCAATTATGAAAATGTTCAAGTTGCCTTATTTTACTGTATATCTCTAACAAACAGTTCCCATTCCTTTGATGTTATTTTTAGAAATAAATGTTAAATAATTTGCCAATTATTGTAGGCATATATTTCTAATAAAGTCACAAATGCATAACAATGAATTTAAATTCACATATATTTGTGGGCAGAAGAATGATTTCTGAAAAATATTTTATTGCTTGTTGTTAGTAAAGAAGTTTAATGACAAGTATTTTATTTTGCAGATTGTATTTTTCATCTTTGACTTGGTGGTAAAAAGTTGTGCTGCCAACACAAAGGCACATAGTTTGAATCCACCAACTGCTCCCTAAATAATTTACTGTCTAGAAAAATCAGCGGGAGGGTCAGCTATGAGTTGGCTGCAACTCAATGGTATATAACATTAACAACAATTCATGTCATGAAATTCATGTCATGGGATCATTTCAGTTTTTATAGATATTTTTCCATGGTAATTATATTTAATTGTTATTGATGATTCCATTTCCCTATAGTATTAATATGAAAAAATGAAAAAATATGAAGGGAAATAATTTGTTAATTACAGTAAGGGATATAATGAATTAATTATGTTAATCAATGGTTATAAATGCTAGAAAATATAATCTGTATGACTGTTACAAAACCATGTAAAACTATAATGTATTTGGAGTGCATTAATAGAACACAAAAGTACATTCCTCTAACAATTCACTGTGGTTTTCTTTTTTTAAAAGCAAGGACGTACAATTTCTTATTTTTCTAGATAACGATCCTGTTTATTGATTTCCCAATTAATAAATAGGGTAATTTATATCACTTAGGCATTTATTTTAACAAATAAACTATTATTATAGAATATTAAGGAATTCTGTCTTTTGAGAATTTGTGCTTGTTTTCAAGATTTAAGGGTGTATTTTCAGAATGATGGGAGATCTCCAAAATGGGGCATACCATTTCTTCTTTACTGTCTGTTTGTAGAAGCTTAGCACCTTTGTTGGAACACTCCTCTTGTGTCAATACACAAACTTGTCAGAAAAATAGTAACAGATTTCCCCATTCTGAATCTAGCTGGACAATTGGCTTTGAAAGGAAACATTTTCCTTGTTAGTTGTATTATTATTATAAAAATAACAATGAACTTTTTCCTCAGCAAAAGCTCCTTTTGTCACCTTCACTGAAGTGACAGACCATTTAAGAATTCTAGTTTTTTAATCTGAGTATAGTAAAGTTTATATAATGATTTCTAACTGCAATAGGATCTAAGAATGAATTTAAAATAAAGTTTGCTTGAGACACTTAACCCAAACATTTGCCTTTCAATTAAGATTGCTCTGATAATTGCAGTTTAACCAATTCCCTCATTTTTTTTTTAGTATACATTTTTTCCAGTTTTCACTTGTTACCTTATTGTTTCCTTTCATAATTTTACTACTCTAAACTTATTTTTCTAAAGTCTCATGTTGGAGATTTCTTAAATGACACACCCTAGAAGGATATAGGAGTTCTGGTATAGTATTTCAGAGCATGTTTCACTGCTAATAAAAAGCCCTAATATCTTGAATTTACTAGTAGCAATAAGGAGGAAAGATGGAAATCCCTCTGGTTAAGGTTTACAGGCTCAGAAACTGATGGAGAGTCTTTATGAGTTGATTACTATGAATCAGAATTGACTTGAGGGCAGTACTTAACCCACTCACTGTCATTCAACTCACAGAGACTTTTTATCCTATTTCTAAGGCTGAAAATCTTTAGGGGTGGAGACTACCCATTTTTCTTTCATGGCGTGACCGGTGGATTGCATCACTGATCTTTCGGTTGGTTTGATACCTTATCCCGCTATACCACCAAACTGCAACAGATCAAAATGGGCTTTTTGATATTTAAAATGCTTGGAAAGAATTAAAAGAAGGAACTAAAATGTCTTTATATGTATTAAAACAAAGCCAACCTAAATAGTGCATAATGTTAAAATAAGATTTATATTAAGTGTTTTAATGTTTAAAATTTTCTGCTCAAAGAATTATCTAAACTTAAATCTATATCAGTGGCTGTTGTTGTTGTTAGGTGCCAATTAATCAAGTACGACTCATAGCAACCCTATGAACAAAAGATCTGAACCCAGTCCTGCCCTGCGACATCCTTACATTCCTGACACAGAGGAGCTCGTAGTAGTCACCATGTCAATCCACCTGGTTAAGGGTCTTCCTCTGCTTCACCAACCCTCCATTCTGTCCAACATCATGTCCCTCTCCAAGAAATAGCATCTCCTAGGAATATGTTCAAAGTATGTGAGGTGAAGCCTCATCATTCTTGCCTCCAAAGATCACTCCAGCTGCACCCTCTCTAAGATATTTATATTTGTTCTCTTAGCCATCCATGGGATGTTTGGTGCTCTTCTCCAAAACCACAGCTCAAAGATGTCAATTTTTTCCTGTCATCCTTATGCATTGTCCAGGTCTCAGCTGTATAGCTAGTAATTGGAAAAACTATGGCCTGAATCAGACACACCTGAGTTCTCAAACTGGCATCACTACTCCAATAATTTGGAAAGGTCCCTGCCTAAACTAGAATTATCAGTCAGTTTTCTGTATTGAGAGAATTATCTGTATATTTCTAATTACTTTGTAAGTGGTGGTTGTTGTTGTTGTTATGTATGGTCTAGTCGCCTGCATCCTAAACTCTGTTCTGTCCTGTGCCAATCTCATTGACTCCAACACGCTCATCCCAATTACCCCAGTCAACTAATCAATCCATCTCCTATAGGGCCTTCCCCTCCTGCGTCTGCCCTCCACCCTCCCAAGCATGATGTCCTTCTCCACGGACCGGTCTCTCCTTACAACATGACAAAAGTATGTCAGACTAAGACTCAGAATCCTTGTCTCCAAGGAGCAGCCCTGCTAACCCTCTCCAAGATGAATCTGTTTGTTTTCCTAGCAGTCCATGGTATGCTCAATACTCTTCTCCAGCACCACAACTCCAAGGTATCAATTCTCCTTCTATCCTCCCTAGTCATTGTCCAACTCTCTGACACACAACATGTGATTGCAAAGACCATGGCCTGTATCAGATGCACTTTAGTCTACAGAGAGACACCGTTGCTCTTTCTTACTTTACAGAGGTCCCTAACAGCAGACTTTCCCATCGCAGTATGTCTTTTAATTTCCTGGCTACTGGTGCCAAGACTATTGATTGTGGAGCCAAGCAGACTAAAGCTGTGAACAATCTCAATCTCTTCAGCATCCATAATGATGATGCCAATTGTCCCAGTGGTGAGAATCTTTGTCTTCTTGACATTGATCCTCAATCCATATTGAAGACTGCAGTCCTTGACCCTCTGCAGCAGGTGATTCAGGTCCTCCTCAGTTTAACCAAGCAGGGTTGTGTCATCTACACAACACAGACTGTTGATAGATCATCCACCAATCCTGATGCCGTATTTCTCCTTATAGAGCCCAGCCTCCCGGATAATCTGTTCTGCATACAGGTTGAAAAGGTATGGAGACAGGACACATCCCTGGTGTACACCCTTCCCAATTTTGAACCATGCAGTGTTTTCTTGCTCTGTTCTGACGACTACCTCCTGGTCAAAGTACAGGTTTCGCATCAGCACAATCAAGTGTTCTGGGATTCCCATTCTTCTCAGAGTCAGCCACAGTTCGTTATGATCCACACAGTCAAATGCCTTTGCATAGTCAATGAAACACAGACAGACATTCCTTTGGTATTCTGTGCTTTCAGCTAAAATCCATCTAATATCAGCTACAATATCCTTAGTACCACGACCCCTTCTAAACCCAGCCTTGACTTCTGGCAGTTCTACAGGACACATCACCTTTGCTAGGGAAACATTACCACTAAACTTCAGAGACATTGGTCCCAACATAAGAAACTATCAGCAGCTGATCTATTTGAAATCACAGAAGCCAAGGAAGCTTCATATATAAGCTGTTAGATCAAGGACTGGTCAATGGGAGATAGATGTGAAGCGAGTGGGTAGAAGTGGATGGATATCCTGGTGGATGGTGGAGCAGGGAAAGAAGTGGGCAAAGACACGTGTGCCAAAGGCAGGGACAACACTGATACTAATGGTTAACTCCACAATAAGGGACTTACCTTTCACTTTTTCTATAAAATGCTGGTCTGTCTGATCCTTCTCTAAATCTGAACATTCAGATTACGACAGACTAGGAAGAAGGAGTGGCCATCCACTTCTGAAATAGCAGGCCTCAGAAAACTCTATGTACAACAGAACACATGTAGATAACAGAAAGGGCAACAGAGGTTGAGCTTTCAAGTATGGAAATACAAAGGAAGAGGAACAGTTGTAAGCAGACACTGGTGAATGGGACATGGAATGTGAGAACCATGAATGTAGGAAAATTAGATGTTGTTAAGGAAGAAATGGAACACATAAATATTGACATACTAGGCATTGCTGAGATGAGATGGACTGGCATGGGGCATTTTGAGTTGGATGATCACTCCACTTGTTAGTACCTAAAAACAACAATGACAACAGAAACATAACTAGACATTTGAAAATTTGGAGTTAGAATTAAATATGTGTATGACCTTTAGTGATTATATTAAAACTCAGAATCTTGCCTTATTTCCCTCCCCCCATCTACTAAATGCACAATGGGAGTTCTGGTGGCCTAATAGTAAGGAGCTGCACTGTCAACCCAAAAGGACATGGTTTGAATACAACAGCTGTTCTGCAGGAGAAAGATGGGCACTCTCCTTCCATGTGAGTTACAGCCTCTAAAAACCCACTGGAGAATAATCTAAGAGTAGATTTTTACTCAATGGCGCCAAACAGCAGCAACAATTATATAAATCAGAAATTGGTATTTGGCATTGCACATTCTATGATATTTTCTTCTCCTAAAATGCACTGTTCTTCACGTGAAGAAGGATATGGGACTAAAAATGAACAATTATTTCTCACCTGTTACAAGATTCCAACTCACAACTTTTCAGAGAATAAAATGTGTCACTATCTTTTGTAACTAACAGTGTAAAATGATTTTACATTACTTACCTGGACCAAAAGTCTTTGGCATCAGTGTTTGGCAACATTTCATCTGTTGGTCATGTTTTCGCTTCCACTCTGTAAAGTTTAACAGTTCCCTGTCCTGTTGGAGGAGTTTTTCTTGCTGTTTCATTGCAATAGTGGACATCTGAAATACTTCAAATAATAATAATCATTCCTACTATAACAGTGGTATATTTTAAGGAACTAATATTGCAGCATAGATTAATGTCTATGTCCAAGTTTCTCATTTTTATGCCTTTAATTTGAATTATTTTTTCTCTTTAAAATTCACATTGCACAAATATTTTTTAAAAGGATGTGTTTTAAAAGGAAAAACAACAAAGCACAAAAAGGAAACCAAAACCCTCTTTGCCATCTCTCTTTTTTATTTCTTATTTCTACGCTCTCACTTCAAGGTAGCTAGATCTACCAATTTATTTCATAAACTTCCAGAGACATTTAGCAAGTAAATGAATATAAAATTTCTTTTCTCTTCACACAAATTGTTGTCTAATCATACAGATTTGTACCTTTAATATTATCATTCAAAATTTATTTTAGATATAGTTACATATTAGTATATTATGAATGCATAATATATATGGATTTATTTTACTAATCTCTGAATTGTTAGATGATTTCCAATTTTTGGTATTATAGAAACAAACTATTTTATAAAGAAGTGGAGACATACATTATCCAACAGAAGTGCAGGTGTATTTCTAAAATAAGTTATTAGCCCCATTATATATATATGTGGAATTCCATCGATCATGATATTGCTTTCTGGCCCAGGTATAAGGATTTTGGTTTTCTTAATATTGAGCTATAATATGCATCACAGGTAATTGATGAACCTTCCTCCAATCCTATGTCACATTCTTTTTCATATAGTTCAGCTTTATTTGCTCAATATTCAGGTTGAACAGGAAGGAGAAAGATATAAGAAAACAAAAATTCTCACAACCAGACTAATAGGCAACATTATGAAAGATGGAGAAAAGATTGAATTTGTAAATTATTTCATTTTACTTGGATCCACAATCAACACCTATGATATTTATTGTTGTTATGTGCTGTCAAGTTGTCTGACTCATAGTGACCCTATGAACAACTGTGAACCCTACCCTATCCTTAGCCTGTCTCCCTGACTCCAACACACTTAATCCCACTGCCTCAGTTATCATGTAAATCCACCTCATGCAGGGTCTTCTTCGCCTTCACTGTCCTCTCTACTCTCTCAAGATTGATGTGTTTTTTCCAAGGACTGTTACCTCCTGGCCACATGCCAAAAGTATGGGAGATACAGTTTCAAAATCTTTGCTTCCAAAGAGAAACTTGGTTTTATCCTCTCCGAGTTAGACCTTTTTGTTCTCCTGGCAGTCCATGGTATGTTCAATACTCTTCTCCAGCATCATAACCCAAAGGCATCAATTCTTTTTTTGTGGTCCTTAGTCACTGTCCAACTCTCTGATGCATAGTAAGTAATTAGGAAGATGATGGCCTGGATCAGGCACATGTTAGTCTCTAAGCTGACACCATTTCTCCTCAGCACTTTGGAAAGTTTCCTGTCAGAAGATTTCCCCAATGCAATTTGCCTTTTGATTTCCTGACTTCTGGTGCCAAGAGTGTTGCTTGTGAAGCAGAACAAGCTGAAATTATTAACCTCAATCTCTTCTCCATCCATCATATTAGTATGATTAAAACATTAAAGGATGTGTTGAACTGGGAAAATGTATTGCCAATGACTTCGTTAAAGTGCTAAAAAGCAATGAAGTTTGTTTAAAGACTAAGGTGAGTTTGACTCAAGGCACAATATTTTCCATTGATTCATAACCATATGAAAGTCAGGAAATGAACAAGTAAGGAGAAGAACCAATGGCTCTGAATTGTGGTGCTAGCAAAGAGTTTTAAATTAAAAGAACAGATACATCTGCCTCAGAGGAACTGTAACCAGGGTGCTTTTTACAAGCAAGGATGGTTAAACTTTGTCTCAAATTAGTCATATTATCAAGAAGGTCTAGTTCTTGGAATAAGATAGCATTCTGGGAAAGTTAGAGGGTCAGAAAGTAAGAGAAAGATTCTCAACTAGATGGATTGACACAATGTGACAATGAAATTAGCATAGCAGAGATTGTGAGGTCCGTGTAGGATAGAGTAAGGTTTCAATCTGTTGTTCATAAAATTACTATGAATCATAGTTATCTTCAGGATATTTAGCAAAGATGACATATCATACTAAGCTTCATTATCTTCTAACTCTTTGATTTATACCAATGATATCTCATTTGTAAATGCTATGTAGATATCATCTTAATTTGCATTTCTCCTTTTATAATTAATGTTTTACCTTTTTTTCCATATATCAAAATGTGTCTTTTTTAATTTAAATAAGTATATTTTTATATCTTTTGGTGTTAGGTTTTATTTTTTGGTTTAGTTTCTGTTATATGAAAATGTATATGATTGTTATTTCTTTTCCTCTGATTTCTAAGCAAGTGACATCAAACAACAAAAACAAAAATGAACTTTTGAATATACATAATAGATAATTGGAGAAGATAGATTTTAGCATAAAAACCAAATTGTATATACCACTCACTTTAAAACTTGCTTTATGGTGTATTGCATCTGATCATAATATTGAGTTTTTAAAAATTGGTTTAAATATAATAACTCATTAATATTGTGTTTTATTCATATATGCCTATTATATACAATTAATTAGTATAGTTCTATAAATTAGTACTCCATATTTTCAAGTCCTCACTGAGTCTTTCCTATTCCTTCATCTCTCCCTCTCCCCATTATATTCTACTATCCTAGTGATTTCTATACTTCCCATTTTTCCACCCCCTACACCTTTCTCTTTCTCCTTCTAGACACTTAAAGACATCTCATTAGTTATTCTCTTATTTTTATTTTTACAATAGTGGTCCTTATACTGAGTTAGTTTGCTTAGCATAATGCTCTGTAGACTCTCCCATGTTTTATAATATTTTAGGAAATTGTAGTTCCTTAGTACTGCATATTATTCTATTGTACGAATTTATCACAACATCCCAATCCATTTGTATGCTGATAGACATTTGGACTGTTTCCATGTTATTGCTACTGTGAGTAACACTGCTCTGAACCTAAGTGTACATCAAAATATTTTTAAGAGTGGTTTGTTTCTGGTTTTGTTGGGGTTTTTTGTTTGTTTGTTTGTTTGTACAGATGATCTCCAAGTTAGAATATATTTGAGTTACAGTGAATTTAGAACTGCCAGGAAAAAGATTGTTTTCATTAATTTTCAACTGATTTATCCCAGAACTATTAGTCTCCAATTCTAAAAAGAGTTTGTTTCCAACTTTTGTAACTTTTTTGAAATGCCCATGACAACCTCCTCCAACAGATGATCTATATTATTAAGATGTGATAGTGGTGTACAACAGCTGTGGTTCATCCTTAGAAGAAGGCACAATCAATCACTACTTTTCAAGACACATTATCCAAAAACTGTGTCTGCTTAGCTATAACTGATGGAGGTATGGTATCTTTGCATAATTTTGAGAAAAATTATGTTCTTTAGCACAGCTAGAACATTCTATGTCTTTAGAGAAGAAATTAGGAGAAAACACATGTAAGGGATTTGGGAAACTTACAATTGATAGTGATAATATGATGAGATAAATCATCATAGAAATTATGCATAAGGCAAGAACGCTGAGTTTAGTACTTGATATTATCACTGGCTTGGAAGAAATGTGTTCAGAACACATTTTTATAAGTAAACACATTTTTATAAGTAAAGATGGTGAGCTTCACACTTTGATTATATTAAGAAGGCTCAGTTCCTGGAAGGATATCACCCATGGAAAAGTAGAGGGTCAGTGAAAAGGAGGAAGAACCTCAATAATAAGGGTGGACACAGTGACTGAGGCAATGAGCTTAAACATAGCAGAAACTGTATTAATGGTATTATGTTTTGTTCTGTTGTACATTGGGTGGCTATGAGTTAGGGGAGACTTGACATCACATAACAATAACAACAATCATGAGGTGGAACAGATCATATATCAGAAGTAGGGGAAATGATGAAATAAGAGTAAATAAATGTTAAAAATGGAATAAATGACTAAAAACAACAACAGAAAAGCTGCCAATAATTTTTGCAATGAAAGGATAAACTGACCCCCCCCCCAAAAAAAAACAACCTAATTTAGGGATTTCAGTTGCTTGAAAACATGGTATGGAATGCTGACTGTTTTACTAAAGATGAAAGGCAGATCTAAAAAGTGGTAAGATGGTATTTGGATGTATATGAAGAAAAGGATTATGCAGAGAATTGTCACAAATTTTCTCATTATAAATGCTATCCTCATCCTCAGGAAAATTCATATTATCTACAAGTCTTTCACAAATATAGTTATTACCCAAACTGATAAAATATCAACATTTCCCAACTCTTCATTGTCAAAGTAAATTATTATTTGTGTATTTTGTATTGTTTCAATGTGTTAAAATGTACACTTGTAAGGTTATATGTCATGATTCCAACCCTTAAAGGCAAAAATGACATTTATAAAGATAATGATGATAAAAGCCAATGATAATGAAAACTTTAATAAAGGGTATCATAATGGGCAATGTCCAATGGTGATTAATTTTATAAGACGTAATGCATGGGAATGATTGTATGGGTCATAATGTGAATGATGAATAGTATAAAACCCAATGTGACTGAAGAATACTGTGAAACACAAGTATACAAACTTCATAAGCAAACTAATATTAAAAAAGGGTGTCATATATAAAAACAATTTAAGATAGAGCTGTCAGAACAAAACTTCATTGTAAATGAGGGACTATTTGAAACTTCCTTATTCTTAGTGATTTTTTTTTCTTTTTTCTGAAAAATCTTGACAAACAGTGGTATCTGTATTATCACCACTCCTTTTGAAATTTAATCAAACACCTTATTTAGGATCTTAAGTTTAATTTATGGCTTGAATTTTATTAAATACTTAGTTTCTTCTATTTTATTTCCCTGAGTAGTTGACACTGTTAAACAGGATTGAAATGAGTATTTAAAGCATATATTTTTTTATTTTTATTAAATATTTTTTCGTTATTATTTTTTATGTGTGTACCATCAAATCGGATCTGACTGGTACAGAAGGCAATTGTTCCTCCTTCATCAGCAGAGCATCTGGTGGATTTGAACCGCACACCTCTGGGATTGCAGAACAACTTCTTGCCACTAGGCCACCAGAGCTCGCCTAAAGTATATTTTTTTATATTTTCTGTGCAAATGAAACTCAGATACTTGCATAGAGTTAGAATACATCAACATTTCATTAAAGTTCTTAGTTTTTACAGAATTAGTGGGATTATTGATGTTAAATGACTTATCTGTCAGTCAGTCCTCTTTCAACTACATAAACACATTTGAAGAGTAAACAAATATAGGTAAAGAGTTCAAATACAGTTCTTGGGTTTCCATTAAATATTTTAAAACATCACCTTGTCCAATAAGAAATGAAGCACACCTGTAAAATAATCTGTATAAGGCAAGTAAATATATTCTCTGAAGTCTTTAAAATGTCATGCTTTCCCATGCCCACAATTGAGTTACAGCGCATAATTGTTTTCTTTCCCCCAAAAGATGCATGACATTAGATTTGATTTTAATAACAAGTATCAATTACATATAAATTCTTGAATAGGTATAGCTAATAAAGTGAAGAATTTAAACTCTTTTATATAATTGTATGCATTCTGATCTTTCTTAATTCGTTTATTCATTCCCTTTTTAAAGTCATAATTATTTACAGATATGATATATATATATTTATATCTAAAGTTATGAATAGTATATATGTATACATATATACTATTCATAACTTTAGATATATATATATTTATATCTAAAGTTATGAATAGTATATATGTATACATATTTAATCAATTTAAAAAGTAGCCTTTTGTACTTACACTTGATGCCCAAGAAAACGGAAGTTGCTAATGAGCCCATGAATAAAAAACATGAAATAACCATCATAAGACACCATCTTCCTAAACAATGCAACAGAAAAATTTAGCTAAATTAATGGAAGGAAAAGGTCAGAGTGATAGATGAGAGTGACTAAAAAAGGCTGTTAACATTATGTATTTACAGTATTAGAAACCTTGAAAATTGGCAATTCCAGCCATTGTATTAGCATCCATTGAGGGGCACGGTCTCCGGTAACATTAATTACAGATCGGTGGTCTTGTAAATAAATCATCAGTTGTGGGAACAATATAAGAGAGAGCACTTACCACAGTGAAGGAGGACTGTGACTATATTGTGAGAGACAATGGTGGAGAAAGGGTGAAGAGATTGTGGCACTATTGTGAACTAACTGTGGCAAGATGTAACCAGAGGAACCTTAGAGATGCAGTCACAGTGAAAGGTTTTGCTTGCTGGATTGAATGAAAAGCTAACTTATAATTGTTGTTGCTGTTGTTGTGTACCATTGAGGCAAAACTGAGCCATAGCTGACACTCTGGCAGGTTTTCAGAAGCAGTTAATAGCATGTGAAGATATTGCTCATCCTTCTCCCGTGGAGCAACTGGTGGCATCAAACCCATGCCTTTGGGGTTGCAACACAGCTTCTTGCCAGAGGCCACCAGAGTGGGACTTGTAACTACTCTGAGATAAAGTTTGCTAGAATGACTGAGGAAACCAGAGGTTTTGTTTGTGTTGCTGAGCTGAATCTAGGCTTTAATTTGTTGATTAAGTAGTTATCTGAACAAATTGAAGAATTGTGCCTTGTTAATCTAGTTTGGGACTGATGGATTCTGCCTCCCCCACTCCCCAACCTATTTTCCTAATAAATTCCACGACTGTGAATAAAGTTGTAACAAATATTGAACCCAAGGATTGGTTGCAAAAGGTGCAGGAAACATGAGGGGTGGCATATCTGAACATGTTGTTATTTGTACAATAGTATGAACATTATTGATGGGAAAATTTCTCCTTTATGATGCAATGTGTAAACGTAAGACTCAAAACAACTATGAGATATCATCTCACCCCAGTAAGAAGAACAAAATTTAACAGAACAGCAAGCAACAAATGCTGGTGAGGTTGTGGAGAAACTGGAACCTTTATTCACTGCTGGTGGAAGTGTAAAATGGTGCAACCACTGTGGAAGGCCATACAGTGCTTTCTCACAAAGTTGCAAATAGAGATACCATATGAAACAGCAATTACACTGCTGGGAATATACCCCAAAGAGACCATAACTGACACCCAAGTAGATATATGCATACCCATATTTACTGTGGCTTTGTTCACAATAGCAAAGAGTTGGAAACAATCTAAGTGCCCATCAACAAGTGAATGGATAGAGAAGCTGTTGTATATTCACACAATGAAATATTATGCTGCATTGAAAAACAAGAAACTCATGCAATATTAGTCAAAATGGGTGACCTTGGAGGACATTTTGCTGAGTGAAGTATCTTAGTGACAAAAGGACAAATACTACATTGTGCCACACTGTTGTAAAACAAGACTGACATCAGGTTTTGGAAGAGACTGAGAAATATAGGTTAAATAATGTACATTATATAGTATGCATATTATGCATTAAAACAGATGAAGGAGAAAACTGTTTTAAAGGGATAGGTAATTAGGTATTTTTGTCATGACAGTTGTCCAGAACGAAGGCCGCATAGTGGAGTGGACCTGGAGAGAGGGATTGTAAAACAATGAAAGAATTTTTCTTTTACTTTTCCAAGAGGGGAGTGGGCTAGGGAGGAGGGGTGGGCAGGGGGAAAAGTGCAACAATGAATGAATGGAAATCCAAAGTCTCTGTAAATTTTTATTGAAATTAATAATTAAAAAAACCTTTAAAAAAGTAAGACTCAACCACTCTCATGTTACCATTGCTCCTTTTACAGTATTCCTCATTAGAAAATTAATGGACTAGAATTTGTAACTAGGAGTAAGTACTCAAAATCATGTCTTTGTTGTTGTGTTATGTGCTGTTGAGTCACCTCCGCCTCATAGTGATCCTTTGCACAACAGCCCTAAACTCTGCTCTATCTCTTGCCTATCTTATTGTCTCTGACACATGTATTCCCATTACCCTAGAGACTGACTGAATCAATTCATCAAATCAAGGATCTTCCTCTCCTGTGCTGTCCCTCCACCCTCCCAAGCATGACGTCCCTCTCCATGGACTGATCCCCCCTTGCAACATGTCCAAAGTATGTCAGACGAAGCTTCAGAATCCTTGCCTCCAAGGAGCAGCCTGGCTTAACCCTCTTCAAGATGAACTTGTTTGTTCTCCTAGCACATTAAATATGAAAAATGCTACATTTACTATATTGTTGTGTGTATCATGGAATCTAAACAGACTCATAGCTGAATCTTCAATGGGTTTCCAGCGACAGTGAATTGATAGGGTGTTGATTGTCTACCTTTCTCCTTCAGAGCAGCCAGTGAATTCAAACTGCATGTTTTTGCATTCGCAGCACAATTTCTTACCACTAAGCCCCTAGAGCTCCCCCAAAATCAATATAGTTAAAAAAGACCTTTCTCTTATATAGAACACCACAATATTACTAATTAGTAGCATATGGTCTTTACCAACTGCCTTTTAGAGATTATCACCTGTTTTCACTTTTGAGATTAAGAAAACTACTTTCTTTCACTTTTTAGAGACACTTGAATGAAATGCAATTGGCTCAAATACAAGAGCTTCTCCACAGAGGAAAGACAGTAATCAACTTCTGTGCAATTACTGCCTCTGAAAACCCACTGGAGGGTCAGCTATGGGTTGATTTGGACTCCATAGAATGTAACCACACTTCAACACAATCAGTTCAAAGATTTTCTTAGTCTATGGGTTTCCTACTGCCAAAGGGGCCCTTTAGAGTAGTGAAAGCAGATCTTCACCCTGAAACTTACAGCGTCCTTTTTCAGCAGGAAGTAGCTAAGAGAATACACCATTCCCTTATCCTTAAGAATCAGGGTGAAGTCTCTCTCAGGGAGGAGAGATAGGGAATGACAAAGGGCACACTGACAAAGGAGATTAATCAGAACTGGCTTCGACAAGCACTGTGGCAATTGGACAATTAAAACAGACATTCGGGGGGGGAAGAAGAACGAACTGGGGAGGAGGGTAGAGAAAACAGTGCAACAATGAATGAATGAAAACCCAAAATCTCTGTAAATGTTCACTGAAACTAATAAAATTTAATAATAATTTAAAAAAAATACTCATTTGATTGGACAATAGGTTTTCCCAGCAAACCTTAAAACAATTCAGAAAAGAAGAATAAAAAAGGATCTCATTTATTTTATTCATAACACTAGAAAAAAAATAAATCTGTTATTTTGGATTTTGCAGTAATCTGAATAAATGGCCTCTCAATATGTCTAAGTCCAAATCTCAGAAAACTGGAAAAGTTTATTTATGTAGAAGTATTTAAATAAGGATTGAAGAATGAGGAAATAGTTCTGGATTACTCAGATTCTTACAAGAGAGAGACAGGAGATCAGAAGGACAAAGATGATGTGAAAACAGAAGATGCTTTGCTCTTGCTGCTCGTTTTGAGGAAGGAGGAAGAGGATATCAGATGAGAAATCAAGCAACTAACTATAAGCACTGAAAAGGGAAAAAAACAACAACTGTTCTTTGCTAAAGTTTGACAAGGGAGCACAGGCTTATTGAAAATTTTATTTCAGCCCACTGAAATCCATTTTGGATTCTGGTCTCTAGAACTCCAAGATAATAAAACTTTTGGTAGTTTTGTTTGTTTATTTCCTTGTCTTTTAATTTAAGCCCCTAGATTTGTAATAGTTTGTTATAGCTGAATACAAAACTAATACAGATATTATGCAATGAAAACAACATGGTTACAGTAGTAAATAATTCCAAAACAATAATATTTTTGTCAGTTTGTCTTATTATATTTTTTTACTTCTCTTTATTTCTTGAGAGCTCTGCTCAAATATTCCATGGGTAATTTATAAAAATACACAATCAAGAAAACAACTAAACTGCACCCTCCCTCAAAAAGGACTTATTGTCATTGACACTGAACCAATTCAAAGTTGACCCTCAGTGGGCTTTTTGAGGCTATAAATTTCAGGGAACTGCTGGAGGATTCAAATGATCAGAGAGGCCAGCTTTGGGTTAAAGGGGCAGTTCTCTATGGATCATGCCTCCTGGATAAGGCAAAATAATAAAAATAGATTATTTCTTTCAATTATTTTTTTCAAACACAGGAACTCTTTGCCCTTTTCAAGAGAAACATTAAAAACTACCACAACAGAAAATGGTAGCAAATGCTTGTCAAAATAAACGTGAAATACTGAAAAATTGATGCCTTTGAGTTGGGGTGTTGTTGAAGAACATTGAATATACCAGGGACTGCCAAAAGAATAAATAAATATGTTATGGAAGAAGTTCAAGTAGAAAGTTACTTAGTTGTAAGACTGCTTCACATATACTTTTGGCATGTTGTCTTGAGGGTCCAGTCCTCAGGAAAATATACCATTCTTGGTAAAGAGGAAGACCTTCAGTGAGCTGACTTGCTATAATGGCTGCAACAACGGGTTCAAGCACAGCAGAGATCGTTACTATGGTGCAGGACTGGGCAGTGTTTTGCTCTCTTTTACACAGGGTCACTATGAGCCATAATCAATTTGATGGCACCTAACAACAAAAAACTACTTTTCCTCTTTTCTTATTCCTCTCCTGTTTTATCTCATTTGTTTATATAATAGAAACTCTATGTCAATCCCAAAGGCATGCAGTTCAGATCCACCAGCTGCTCCATAGGAGAAAGATGGACAATCTCCTCCCATGCTATGTATTGCTTCTGAAAACACTGGCAGGTCAACTATGAATTGGTTCCAGCTTGATGGCACACAACAACAACAATAATAATTCCATATTATAACTATTAAGTGAATTATCTCATATTAGAAAAACTATCTGAGTTGTCAATATGAAACAAAATAATAAAAAAAATAAATTATAAACTTGGAGTAAATAATTAAAACTGCTTACCTGAAAATTTGTTGGAAGCAAGAGGTTTTTTATAATGGTTTGGGATTGTATTATCCCACTGAAGAGAGGTATATATGTCTTCCTCTTGCATATCTGAAATGTTTTGATAGCTAAGGTGTCAACTCCTTGTGGACCATAAGCATATTGGTGAAAGAACTGAAATTGGCTGTTTTTTTCAACCCTACTGTGTAAATATCTTTGTCTTTAAGGAGCAAAGTGGATGAATCTTCAACCAGAAAGTGGAAGTTTCTGAACTTTAGGCCAGAAAACAACTTAATAAAAGAGGAAATGAGAAAGAAACAGATTTTAGTCAGTGGCAGACTATATAATTTCTCTGATTTCCAAAACAAAGCTAATTCTGAAATCGACAGTAATAGATTGAAGTTAATACGAGAATAGAATAATTTTAAAAATTCACTTTTTGTTTTGTATAGGGCATAAAGTAGGGAAATTACTGACATAGGGAAGGGATGAATTTACATTGGCCTATTAGGAGTAATAAATTAGAGATCAGTGAACATCCTTAAGCAAATAAGTTAGGAATAGGTTTTTATCTCTAAAATAAATGTATATACTGTACTTTAGTTGGGAGCCCCTGAATGGTACAAATGGTTCATATTCTTGATTGCTAACAGAAAAGTTGGAGGTCCAAATTGACTGAAAGGCACCATAGAATAATTTAAAAAAAAAAATCAGCCATTGAAAAACCCTATGGAACATAATCCAACTCTGATGCATAAGGAAGAGCTATGAGTTGTGATTGAGTGAAAAGCAACTAGTGATATTAGTGAAAGTTATAATGTTATGTGGAATAGGGTCATAGCTGACACTCTAGCAGGTTTTCAGAGGCTATAAAATGCATAGGAAGAAATTGCCCATGTTTCTCCAGTGAAGCAGCTGGCTTTTGGGTTGACAGCACAACTCACTAGTTGCTATATAATGAAGACAAAATCAACAATAACAATGATAAAACTCAATGTGACAGTTGTTTAACATAACAGACATTTATCTGTCTTTCACAAAACTTTCTAATTCCAATAAACTTGGTCACTTGGTAGTTTTCCTTTAGATAATTTCAAAGTTATGGATGGGACATTGGTGTTCTCTGCTTCTAATAATTATTTTTTTTTTAAAAAGAAAATAAGGAAGAAATTGGGATTCACATCTAATTTTTGAAGCCTACATCCTTGAAGTGACAAACATCACATCCTAACCCTCACCAATGTTATGCCCATATTTGGATATAAAAGAGGTTGGGACTTAAAAAAAAAAGTAATCTTTAATTGGGCAGCAAGCTTTCAATGATAATTTTAGAAGGAAAGAATAAATTTTCAGTGGCTATATTGTCATCTCTACTTATTTATTCTACAGTAAAAGTATTAAAAACTCTGACACTTTAATAATCATTCATATTTTCCCTATGGACAAAAATCATATCTAAGTAATGTAGGGTGTCCAAGTTACAACAATCTGCAACACTGCCGTGTTGCCTGTAGTTTCACTGTCTCACTAGATTAATAATTTTTCTTTATAGGCCTGTCTTGGAGAGGGTGAAACCAAATCTCTCCTTGGAGGCCAGGATTTTGAAGCTCTGCCTCACTTACTTTGGGCATGTGGCCAGGAGAAATTGGTCCCTGGAGAAGGACATCATGCTTGGAAGAAGGGAAGACCCCGGATGAGATAGATTGATACAGTTACTGGGGCAATGGGGCGTGATGTGTCAGAATTAGTGAAACTGGCTCAGGACAAGGAAGGGTTCAGAGCTGCTGTACATAGGGTTGCTATGCATCACAGGCGACTCAACAACTAGCATTCCATGGCAACTTTGAAAGCAGGAGTGGCATTCCCTTCATAAACAATTTGCCTCCAGAAACTATGAACTTTAATAAATATCGATAGTTGTAGAGGGCTTCAGGCCTTTTGTTCATAGGGTTGCTGTGAGTCGTGCTAGACACAAGTCCGTCAACAACAACATCAACATAGCAATCAAGTTCCCAGAATAAAAGCAAAAAGAACACTCAAGTGGAAAAAATCTGAAGACATTTAATAAAAGGGTTATTTGAAAAGTAGTGGGAAGGATCAAAGGAGCAGCAAAATATATATTGAGAATTATTTTAGAATTCATTCTGTTAGGATTAATAACTGACTATTTATGAGAAGTCTCAAGTCAATGTAGTTCCAAATGCTTAAATAGCTGCATAAAACCGTAATTTATTTATTTTTTAAATTTATTATTAATTTCAATGAAAATGTACAGAGACTTTGGATTTCCATTCATTCATTGTTGGACTTTACTCCCCTCCCGACCCTCCCCCTAGTGCACTACCCTCTTGGAAAAATAAAACAAAAATTCTTTCATTGTTTTACAAACCCTCCCCCAGGTCCACTCTACCATGCAGCCTTCGCTCTGGACTCCTGTCATGACAAAAATACCTAATCACATATGCCTTTTAAACAGTTTTCTCCCTCATCTGTTTCAATGCAGTATACATTATTGAATCCATCTTTCTCAGTCTCCCTCCTATCCCAATGTCAGTCCTGTTTTACAACAGTGGCACCATGCAGTATTTGTCCTTTTGTGACTGAGCTACTTCACTCAGCAAGATGTCCTCCAGGGTGACCCATTTTGAATAATATTGCATGAGTTCCTTGTTTTTCAATGCAGCATAGTATTCCATTGTGTGAATATACCACAGCTTCTCTATCCATTCGTTTGTTGATGGGCACTTAGATTGTTTCCAAATCCTTGCTACTGTGAACAAAGCTGCGATAAACATAGGTGTGCATACATCTGCTTGGATGTCAGTTATGGTCTCTTTGGGGTATATTCCCAATAGTGGAATTGCTGGATCAAATGGTATCTCTATTTGCACTTTTTGAGAAAGCTTCATACCGCCTTCCACAGTGGTTGCACCATTTTACACTCCCACCAACAGTGAATAAGGGTTCCAATTTCTCCACAACCTCACCAGCATTTGTTGCTTGCTGTTCTGTTAAATTTTGCTATTCTGACTGGGGTGAGATGATATCTTATAGTTGTTTTAATTTGCATCTCTCTTAGGACTAGGGATTTTGAACATTTCTTCATGCGCCTATTAGCCATCTGAATGTTTTCTTTGGTGAAGTATCTGTTCATATCCTGTGCCCATTTTACTATTGGATTATTTACCTTTATCTTCTTGTGGTGAAAACCATAATTTCTAACATGAACAACTACATCTGTGGCTCAAATTCCTCTATGGCCATTGGGTTCAGATTGTCTAGAATATTTCTCAGAGACTCAGAGCCATTAGGGAAATGACTCATGTGACCATAGGTATACGGGCTGGTTTTAGAGAAACTGGTGAGAAATGGGTCATGATCCTTTAGACTATTATGGGGATTTGTGAGGCCACTGTACCCTGGTTGACTGTCAAGGATGTATGAAGTCCAGAGTATTGCTTTGAGAACACTCAGCAGGAAGATAGCTGAACACAGCTTCCTGGACAAACACAGATATTTCCCCAAAGAACAGACTAAATTAATGAGACTTCATAAAACCCAGAAGAACAGCTGTGAAGCCTTAATTAAAGAGAAGCAAATGTCTTTGTGAGTTTTCAGAAAATAGAGATAAGTTTTCTGTGTGTTTGTAAAGATTTTCTGGAAGAATTACTATAAAATGGTAATTGTGTTTAAAATAGATTTTCCAAGAGAGAATTGCTGTATAGCAAGAAGCTTGATAATAATAAAATACTTGCATTAGATTAGATGGATAGATAGATAGATAGATAGATAGATAGATAGATGATAGATAGATAGTAATAGAATGCTTGCATTATATACTCTGAGAAAACTAAACATTTGGAGCCTTGACTTTTGCCTTTGTCCCCTGTGCCTTTCTTGTCTGTTTTTTCTTCCATAGCACCAAGTCTTCAAGTTCCCAGCTGAGAATGGATACACACTGTCACTTGTGCCACAGCTAGATGGTGACTGTGGGTGATGTAGGCTGGTAAAATACCATCTGTTAGTAGTTGGAAGCTCTCTGTGTCACAAGTGAGGGAGCTTTTCCAAAGGAAAAAAATAACCTGGAGTTGAGGTCCCCTAAGTTCCTAAAAGCTTCAATCAATAATGTTGAGGACAATTGTCTGGCCAACAAATTGGAAGAGGTCCATATTTGTTCTCATTCCCAGGAAAGGTGATCCAACTGAGTGTCAAACTTATTGAAAAATATCATTAATATCATGAAACAACATATGAGCAAGATCCTGTAGTGATGAAGAGGTTAAGCTGCTCTGAAAGAATCAGCAAAAAGAAGGACACACCATTTGACATATTTCAACAAAAAGACACTGTCCTGGATGCGCTCACTAAGTTATGTCAAGAAATCTGGAGGACAACCACCTGGCCAACTGCCTGGAAGAGAGTTATATTTGTTCTTATTCAAAAGAAAGGTGATCCAACAAACTACAGAAATTATTGAACAATATAATTAATATCACATGCAAACAAGATTCAGCTGAAAATCATTTGAAAAAGGCTGGAACAGCACATCAATAGAGAACTGCCAGAAGTGCAGCCTGGGTTTAGAAGAGGCCATGGTACTGGGGATATTATAGTTAGTGTTAGATGGATCTTGTCCAAAAGCAAAGAGTACAAGGCTATGCAATGGCATTTGTGTAGGTCACAACAAACTGTATCTAACACTGAGATGAATGGGAATCCTAGAACACTTGATTGTGCTTATGCAAAACCTATACTTGGACCAGGAGGCAGTCTTAACAGAGCAAGGAAATAGTGCATGGTTCAAAATTGGGAAGGGTACACACCAGGGCTGTATCTGTCTCCATACCTTTTCAATTTTTATGCAGAACAAATTATCCAGGAGGCTGGGTTCTATGAGGAGAAATGTGGCATCAGGATTGGAGGAAGAATCTGTGTTTTGCAGATGACACAACCCTGCTTGCTGAAACTGAAGAGGACCTGAAGCACTTGTGGAAGGTCAGGGATTGCAGTCTTCAGTATTGTTTGAGGCTCAATATCAAGAAAACAAGGATTCTCACTACTGGTCTGATTGGGAACATTATGATGGATGATGAAGAGATTGTGATTGTT